TCAATCTCGACACGTCGAAGACCTTTTCAATAAACAGAAAATATACTAAAGGTAGGAAGGAAACATTTCTCAAATCGCAAGTACTTCTAGGCGCGGATCTTGGCGAGGTTTCGGAAGAGCGGATAGAAACTTTCAAAGAGGATTATTGAAAAACTACGCTCAAAATATAGATGGCCATTCAGCAGACTCTGGCCACGAGATTTCTTGATCCTTCATCCCTTTTTAGCACTGATAGGATCGTCGATTCCTCAATTCCCCATTGTAAAGATAAAGTCTATCCCAGAAAAACTCTTCCTCAATGTCACGAGGTTTAGTAAGGATCACAGTTCAAGAAGCAACTTGGTTATAGACAGTTGAAAAGGAGAATCAGTCGAGGAGAAGAATAGATCCAAATTATTGAATTTAATTGCATATAAACGTTCCGCACATGAATTTCTACTTTTGCGGCACACAAAGGAGCCTGAGTAGATTACTGAGAGAGTCTCCTACTGCAGCACACCATCCTCATACAAAGATAATAGCATTGGTGACGAACGAAGGACACTCTACTAAATCAACGCTTCATCCATCCAAAAGTGCCAGCGCATGGGCTCAAGGACAGCTCAGGACTGACGAGAAGTACACGAGACGCATTCTAACGAAAATGATGTATTGATTTTGGAGTACAACTCACCAAAATAGATTTCGCCATAAGGGATTTAACAATGTTGCGGAAAGGTGAAAGGGAGGAGCACAAACATAAAATACGTAAACATGTGAGCAGGCGAGCCATGGGCTTGCTCTGATTTTTCGCTTGATTCTTCCATGGAATTAAGGCTTCGAAGAACATACTTCCTCGAGATTCCCTTACTTTGTAGAAATTACTTAAAGGCACGTTTCACGATAAAAAAAAAGGTCACTGAGTTCTTCCTTCAGGAATACTCAGCGCCCCCATGGGTGGTAGAATAGACCCTCTCGCTCCCACAATCTCGGCGCTTAGGGCATAGTGGAAGCCCCGTTGCTACCGTAGTTCCCTTTCCCGCCCCTCCATCGGTATCACGTTAGACGAGTGTCGAGACAATACAGATTGCTATTATTCGTTCTAGGACCTACGCACAATCAGCTAATCGCCGAATGATGGGGCGATGTTTTTCTCCCATTCTTTTTTCCTCTGTTTTTCTTTTTGTTGCCGCGATCCCTTATTCAATTTCCTACTCCTAGA